CCAGTCCACACACCGATCCACTCAGTGGACGACGTAGAGGCCGCTGCAACCAGAATAACCACGAGCATCCGGGAGGCCCTCAACGCGGCCTCTACGATCGTCCCTCTCTCGGGGAGAAAGGAGGAGCTGCCGCTAAGACTACGCGTGCAGCTAAATCATAAAAGAGCGCTGAGAAAGCTCTGGGCGCGCACTCGCTGTCCTAGAGTAAAAACAAAACTGAACACCGTAATAGACGAACTGTCGGTTGCAATACAGGCTCACAGAGGAGAGACCTGGGAGCGGCGCATTTGGAAGGCTGATGAACATCACGCGTCGCTCTACAAAGTGAACCGGCAGTTAACGAAAACCCGACCACCTGTTTGCCCGCTGACCAACAATGCGGGTGAACATCGTTACGATGCCAAGGGCAGAGCGGATATCCTAGCTGAGCACTTCGAGGAGCAGTTTATGCCGAACCCAGCAAGTGCGGAGTTCTTGTAAATCCACACCCGGAAGGAGAGCCGCGTGCAGGAGCTCCTGTCGTTGCCCGCACCACCGCTTGCAGCAAAGTGGTTCATCTCCCCCGCCGAACTGCGGAGGACAGTAACCCGCCTGCAACCGAGGAAGGCGCCGGGGCACGATGGGATTACTAACGCTGCACTACGACAGCGAGCCAATAGAGTCCTTGTAGAGATAGGTCGGCTCTGCAAGCAAAACGGCTCGAATATTCGACGACCGACTGCTTTCCGATCGGCTCGATTCACTGGCGCTGCGAAGAGGTGTTGCATCTCAGTCAGTAATTTATTAAGGTGGGGTTCTATAGTCTATATATATATATATATATATATATATATATATATATATATATATATAAAAATATATATATATTTATATATCGTTTTATAATTACTGACTGCTCCGTTGTTGAAAAAGGCAAAACTTCATTATCATCAATGAAAAATCTATCTTGGTGACTAAGATGAATGCCTACAATTTAAAATGGTCTTCGGTTCTCGTCCATTTCCGCTGCTCAGAGCTATACTGAGCTACTATTCTGAAATACTTTGATCCTTGCTCAGTAGAGGTGATATCCATTCGTCGTTGTTGTCTTCTACAAGGCATAGTGCCATGCAGGTCTCGGGCCTCGGGTATACCCCTTTACCCGGACATTCCTCACGGCACACTACAATGTGCCGGTCCTGGGCGCCTTGATGGTAAGGCGTTTTATATTAGCGACTTTTGTCGCAGTCGGGTAAATTTGTCGTTAAGGGAGGTTATCATAATGATTGTCTTTAAACACAATTATATTGTTGAAGTTGGCCTTTCTGCGGCATTGTGGGGTTTACTCGACTCCCTAATCTATATAGGGAGGAGGGAGGGAGGGATAATCTGCCAGGGTGGGTATGTCATTGGTGTATGCCGCGTACAGGACTGGAGATAGACAGCTGCCCTGTGGCACACCAGCTGTTATGAGTTTTATTGCGGACTCGGTGTCCTCTACACAGACGTAGAACTTCCTGTCTACTAGGAAGGTCGCCATTAGCCGCAATATAGCAGGAGGGACACTGGTCTGGTCGTCTAACTTATAGAGTAGTCGAGTGTGCCACACCCGGTCGAACGCCTTCTCGATATCGAGAAAGACGCCCAACGATGTGCGGCCGCGGTTGTGCTCGGCCGCAAGCAGGGGCAGCACTCTGGTCAGCTGTGTTGCTGTTGAGTAATCCCTCCTGAATCCATGCTGCTCCGCCCGAAGTTGGATGCACGGGCGGAGACGTCTTAGCAATAGTCTTTCACACAGTTTAGCTATATGCGGTAGCAGCGTGATCGGCCTGTAGTTGGCAGCTCTACGCCTGTCCTTCCCGGGTTTCGGCAAGACGATGATTTTGCCTTTCTTCAGTCCCAGAAGTGGGATGTCCGCAATATGCCATTGCAGAGCCGACCTATCTCTACAAGGACTCTATTGGGCCGCTGTCGTAGTGCAGCGTTAGTAATCCCATCGTGCCCCGGCGCCTTCCTCGGTTGCATGCGGGTTACTGTCCTCCGCAGTTCGGCGGGGGGAGATGAACCACTCTCCTGCAAGCGGTGGCGCGGGCGACGACAGGAGCTCCTGCACGCGGCTCTCCTTCCGGGTGTGGATTTACAAGAACTCCGCAATTGCTGGGTTCGGCATAAACTGCTCCTCGAAGTGCTCAGCTAAGATATCCGCTCTGCCCTTGGCATCGTAACATTGTTCGCCCGCACTGTTGGTCAGCGGGCAAACAGGTGGTCGGGTTTTCGTTAACTACCGGTTCACTTTGAAGAGCGACGCGTGATGTTCATGGTGATGCGAGGTCTCTCCTCTGTGGGCCTGTATTGCAACCGACAGTTCGTCTGTTACGGTGTTCAGTTTTGTTTTTACTCTAGGACAGCGAGTGCGCGCCCAGAGCTTTCTCAGCGCTCTTTTATGATTTAGCTGCACGCGTGATCTCAGCGGCAGCTCCTCCTTTCTCCCCGAGAGAGGGACGATCGTAGAGGCCGCGTTGAGGGCCTCCTGGATGCTCGTGGTTATTCTGGTTGCGGCGGCCTCTACGTCGTCCGCTGAGTGGATCGGTGTGTGGACTGGAGGTCTCTCCTGCAGGTGTTGGTGGTAGAGCCTCCAGTCAATCTTGGTCTTGACAGCTCTGGGCGGCGAAGTCACTGCCTTAGTGCCAAGGGTTATCAGAATCGGGAGGTGCTGTGTATTTAGGTCATACAGCACTTCTACCACTACTGAGTAGTTGACGTTCTTAGTGAGCACGATATCCAATACATCCGGACGCTTCCTAGGCTCAGTTCAGGTTCCTCGGGACCTAGAACGTCGTAATTGTGGTTTTCTGCGTCGTCGTATAATTCACGACCCGGCGGGTTGATCAATCTTGACCCCCACGCCGGGTTTTTGGCGTTCAGGTCCCCGGCGATGATGGTGGGTGACGTACCTTCCATTACCGTCCGGATGTCTGAGGAGTGAAATGGAGTCCCTGGCGGGCGGTATGCTGCAAAGATCCTTAGTTCCTCGCCCGCCGCCTCCATTTTTATGCCGATTGAACGCATCGTCCGGAAGTCTGGTAGGTCCAGCTCCTGGTGGACGATGTCTCTCCTCACCAGAATCGCTGTCCCTCTATAAGCGATCCCTTGAGGATCGACCTCGTCCCTCCTGTAGATGGTGTAGTTAGGCAGCTTTAGATGCGTTGTTGGTCGTATCTTGGTTTCACCCAGCAAGATCACCTGGATGTCCTGTTGCTGGGCGACCGTGCGGAGTTCATGGATCCTTTGTCGAATCCCGTCCGGGTTCCAGTAAAGCAAACGCAGGTTACTGTCCTCCGTAATGCCTTGCCAGTAGTGTTGCCAATGCCTTCATGATGGCGGTAATAGGATCTGTCCCGGCCCTTATGTCGGCCAGGACTTGTGTGCCGACTTCGATGGCTATGCCTACCAGTCTGTGGATGGCATCAGCCGTCTCGAAGCCGGACGTTGGTGGTCTACGTTCTGAACTACGTTGTGAAGGCACTGGTCTCGGGGCATTTATGGTGGTCCTCTCTATCTCTGGGTAGAGCGTGCTCTATATGTAGAACGGGCTCTCCTTTCTGGTAGAGCCCTCTCTGATGCTCTACCCGTCGTGGTTGTCAGTGGTGGTCTTGCAGTAACCAGCGCCTGCGAGGCTATCGGTCCTGTAGTAGGGGTAGAAGTGCTCACAGCCTGAGGAGGGGGCTGTTCGGTTTTTCTACTCCTGTTCCTCCGCCTCTTCCTTTGGGAGGGTTGCCTCTCCGTGGCGTTGTTGGCGGAAGTTTGGAGAGTCGTCCCGGTGGTTGCCCTTTGCTCTGAGGGTTCGACCGTTTCCTTTGGTGCTGTAGGAGGGGGGAGGGGGCTGGTTGCCTGCTCTTTCCTCTGTTGACCGTGGCCCACCCGTCCTCCTGGATGGTAACAGCCTTTGGGCAACTCTGGGGGGGTCCTCTTAGGGTTCTCCGGGAGTAGCCCAGGTAAAACAATCCCCTGCTTCCTGGCAATCCTCCTCAGGACTGGGCAGCGGCGATCATTGGCCGTGTGGTTTTTGGCGCAATTTGCACACTTTGGCTCTTCGTCTCTACCCCTAGGGCAAAGGCTAGCAATATGCTCCCTGGCACAGCGAACGCATTTCATTGGCCTAAAGCAGTTTGCGGAGGCATGTCCGAAAGCCTGGCAACGGTGGCATTGTGCCGGTCCCGTCTTTCTCTGCCAGGCTTCGATGACGTCAGAAATGAGGGGAGGCCTGTGCCCAGCGGTGGGACCTATATAGGCTGTAACTTTACTTTACTTTACTTTACTAAATGTGAATGAATTGTTTTATTACGATAATTTAATTTTGACATTAAATACTTATCGAAGTTAATTTACCACGAGAACATTCGTTGCTTATTTATTTTATAAGAATTATTATATTATGGTGGCGAAGCTATTTGGCAAACAAATAACGCAAGCTTGCATTGTCAAAAAATAGCTTATACAAATGTTACGAGTAGGGACGCCCCTGATCGCTCTTAGCAAAAACCTTAATCAATAGTGGCTGGCCTTCACATATTACTTTGATTACACAGCCGCTGTGTTTTTGTTTTAAATCTTGTGTAAACAATATCTCTGGTTTCGCTCGCTGAAATTGGAAAGTGAAAACACAATGCACCACACAGTCGTACAACTGTCCAACTTCAAATATTCGCCCAAACCTGAACAAATTCGTTCGAATCAAAAACTATGTCTCTGTATACATGACGGTAATTAAAAAATCAACTGCCTGAGTAAAAACGATAAGTAAGACAGTCTAAAGTGTAGAGTGCCGCTTCAAGTGCTTGTGCTTCCCAAGATCCCAAGGCACGAGGATAGAACATCGCCAACGTACTGACCCCAAGCTGCTACAACGTACTGACCCCAAGCTGCTACAACGCACTGACCCCAAGCTGCTACACCGTACTGACCCCAAGCTGCTACAACGCACTGACCCCAAGCTGCTACACCGCACTGACCCCAAGCTGCTACAACGCTGCTACAACGCACTGACCCCAAGCTGCTACAGCGCACTGACCCCAAGCTGCTACAACGTACTGACCCCAAGCTGCTACAACGCACTGACCCCAAGCTGCTACAACGTACTGACCCCAAGCTGCTACAACGCACTGACCCCAAGCTGCTACAACGTACTGACCCCAAGCTGCTACAACGCACTGACCCCAAGCTGCTACAACGTACTGACCCCAAGCTGCTACAACGCACTGACCCCAAGCTGCTACAACGTACTGACCCCAAGCTGCTACAACGCACTGACCCCAAGCTGCTACAACGTACTGACCCCAAGCTGCTACAACGCACTGACCCCAAGCTGCTACAACGCACTGACCCCAAGCTGCTACTACGTAGTACTATTATTTATTCTATGCTGCTACTGAGAACCTTTTTGACAGAAAAACCCAGAAACTGATTTTGGACCGACCTGCCCAAGCAGCATGCAAGTTATAATACGAGCTGTATTAAAGTTCGTAGGTACTTACTACGAAATTTGGGAAGATATCCGGGCGGAGTCTATACAAACGTTTTCTCTTTATCTCTGTTTTATCCCTGGATAATGATACTAGATCATATATCTTTACTATACAATCTATATCTACCACTGCCAAGTTTCAATGATTTGTTTTTTTGTATGACATGATTTATATCGCCATAAGTCATCCATCAAAAAAAAAATTACGTGTGGCACTCGGGGACTGCCGCGGTAAAGCCAATTGCATAGCATTTTTACCAACTTATGCAATTATAATTATTTATTTATTTTATTTGTGCAGTATTTTTTTTTCTTTGATATTAATTCAAGTTACACTTTTGAGCGTGGTGACCGACAAGAAAACAATTTTTTTTCTTTTATTGAATAAATGAGAAGTAAATATTGTTTAAAATATTTTTATTATCTTACAATAGATGTAAGTTATTCAGGAATTTTTATCATTGAATCTATAGGTTTATGGTAATTAACGAGTTCTTCCGACAAACGATAATTTTCTATAAAGTCTGTGTTTATTAAATACTCTAAATTCACGAAAGTTGCTAGCATGACGACGACTCATATAAATCCAAAGAATAATATTATGCTTCTTGCTATAAACTATGTTGCATACGCAGCACGTGAGCACGCGTACGTCTAGTCGCGACTAAACTGAGACACCGTGCCGAAGTCTGCCCAACTGAAACGACGATGTTAGGTTTTTAAGTGTTAGGTTTTTTCCTTACGAAACATAGAGTAATTAGACTATAAATTAGCCTAATAATTCTATGTTACGGAATTTCTTGATTCGGTCGCCGCGCTCAAAGCCCGCGATAAAAGCTATGCAAGCTTAAAAACACAAATAGCCACAATTTTTCTTATAATATTTTGACAACAAAAAATATAATCGGTCCGGTTGTAGAGCCATAATATAGCCGTAACGTAACGCATTTTTGCAGCCCAAATATCCTTCACCTAGCTTGGGAGGTACAACGGCTAAAAATGAGTACTCGAAAGTGAAGGACACAGAACATATTATTACCCTCTATAAGTGAATTGAAGTGAATCGAATCCTATTAAAAATCAGAATGATCGAGAACACTACGCACCATCACATCACTGAAGCCATGCTTATAAAATATGTATAAACTGCAGGAAAAAATATTTGATAATGAGGCAACAGCTTCATTTTGTTTCCTGCAATATGTTATTTTTCAGGAAAATACTGTGTATAATTATAAAAAATATATATATATATATATATATATATATATATATATATATATATATATATATATATATATATATATATATATATATATATACTTACAGTGAATTTCGGTTATAACGCCGGCGGAGGGACTTTAATGTCGTCGCTATACCCGGAGGTCTCTATATCCGAAATAATAAAAAGTCATGTACATATTTACTTATCATTTATTTAATTATGTTATACACGGGTGTAATTGCAAAAACGTGTTATAGTGCACTGTTTAAGTTTAGTTTTTTGTGCACGCTGTAAGGTGTATTCCATTTTCATAATTCTTTCAACATCTAAATTATTTTGGTGTTTTCATGCGTTGGCCAAGTCAATCTATTTATTTAAAACATAAAAGATTTTTGACATTGATATGGTCACTATGTAGATCCACTGTAGATTTATTTTCAGTTTTAGCAAATAGAAAGCTTGATAAAATATTTTTGGAATTAAACAAAGAAACTTTACAATACATTAGTACATATCTCGTTACTTTGGTCGTCAGTTTCTCCAAAATAAGTTCAAATAGTGGATCTCCTGTCAATCATTTTTATCATATAATTAACTATTTTCACTTAGAATAACACAAATAAATTTTTTTTCTCAAAAAAATTGCCAAAACATAAGCATGTGATCACAGAAATCTAATTCGTATTCGGTGAGATCCATGTTCGGCGCATCTCTAATGTAGATTATAATTAAAGTCCTATCACTACAAGACCGTTCATTCAAACAAGATTTTCATGTATGCAAATAAAAAGCCATTGAGATATTATGGTATGGTACTCAGTGGGTGTATTTAAAGTTGTAGACTTACAAATAAATGAATGTTTGATAGAAGTATCTCTATCCTAACCTGGATAAGAATAATCTCTAAGCATGTTGTTTTTAATTGCAGAAATCAGTTTCGAAACGGATATCTTTTTATTAAATGGATGAGTGGGTGATGTCAGACTTACGACTCTTATCTCAACTTCAACTAAATACACCAAAATACATTCATTATAGGTACCCGTACGTAGGTACCTGGTATGTCGTATAAGATAAAAAGCATCAACAAAATTAACCTTTGCTGTTTTGTTTCGTCTACACAATATTATTATTGGTCGAATAACTTGTTTTTGATATAATTTTTTATAACGCTTTATAGTACCAATTGTCATGGAGACTGAGTAGACTAATTTTAATTTGTATAAACCTAGGTACTCTGTCAAATTTCGCAGCACCTGTGTATCAGCTGACTGTAGTTAGAACAGATTATACTCCGGCTGACTGACTTAAACTTTCTATACTTTTTTCGATGTTTCGTCCGAGCTTAGGTAAACACTACCAACACATTATCACATCGAAGGCGACGACTCGCTGCGGTTCTGCGCAGCGAATGCCGCGAAGCCGCGAACGCGTATTGCGTCCGCTCCGCTCCGCGATGGCCGCGTTAACAGCTCGCAGCGAAGTGGCAACATCGCACTCACGCCTTTAAATAGGCTATCCATATATCTTCATATACTAGGGATATCATTAAATTTACGTGGTTGAGCCACGCTGGGTAAGCTGAACAACAGAATAATACTGCTGTGTTTCGTATGGTGAGTGTAGAGAGCTGGAAACTCATCTTACTGATGAGGAGGCATTTCATCTTAGTCGAGTTGATAATGCTTGTGTATTTTGATCCTTACTTGATGTTAGATGATTGAGCTATTATGTACTACGTACTAGTGGCGACACTGCATTCAGCTACTCTGTTCCATTCAACTGCGGTGCATACACCGCACTTTAATCAGTCACTCGCTAGGCGCTTGTAGGGTTGTCACGTGTTGTGTTGATTTTAAAAAAAATGACCAAAAGCAAAAAAAAAAAAAAAATAAAACTCTAAAATGAAAAGAATATTTTATTAAAAGAAATCTCAAAAATAAATAAAAAAAAAATAATTGTTCTCGATATAATTTACCTATTAAACCCTATAATCTACTATTACCTACGGATCATTCTACCTATGTTTATTCTATGATAAAAATACCAACCGCGCGAACACAGAGTAGCGCACATTTTTTGTTTGAAATAGTTGTTCTAGTACGTAAGTACATATTACTTCAATGTGTTAGATGTAGACAGTAGATGTCTATGCGCGATAGAATCCACTTACCATCAAGACTATGTGGTGAAATGATAATATAACCATCGCTTAGTACAATGAAAAATGAATTATTCATAAATAATAATCTTTTTATACTTTTATTTATATTCGATTTATTTGGATTATAATCGTAACTTCTAAACGACTTGACCGATTGAGGTTATCATCATTACCATTATTACAACCCTAAGCAAGTCCACTACAGTACAGAGGCCTCAATAGGCTCAAAGAATGATGTATAATTCCTCACGATATTTTCCTTCATCGCCGAGCACGTGGTAGATCAGCACTTAATAATGCAATTATCGATTTCATTGTTGCCGGCGTGGATCGAGCCCGGATTGCTCGCATACTGTGAAATTTACAGTGAGTTGAGCCCCCGAGCTACCAATGCTCTACTGTGCTACGACAGCTCTGCGTATCAAAGAAATAAGAAAAAAAATATTTCGTAGACTTCGCCAAAATGCATTGGGGCAGCGCAGCGGACATTTCCTAGCCCTAAAATCCTTTCAAAAATGAGAGGAAGCCTATGACCAGCAGTGGGACGTCTATAAGCTGTATTAATAAAACAATAAATGATGTATGAGGCTGTCACTGAACCTTCCTATTGTATCTTTATAAAGAATGATACAATTGATGTCATATAAACACAATTATATTTGTTTTGTCGTGACGAAATCCACCAAGACTTAAGTACAGATAGAGCCGTGGTGAATCGGGATTCGATCTCCGCCGGCACCAATGAAATTAAGTGATGTGTGCTAAGTGCTGATTTATCATGTGCTCGGCGGTGAAGGAAAACATGGTGAGGAAATCTGCAAGCATGTCTGAGAAATAAGAAAAAGATCGAAGGCATCTGAAGTTCGCCAACACGCTTTAGGGCAGCACGGCGGACGTTTCTTTGCCCTAAACCCTCTCGGAAATGAGGGAAGCCCTGTGCCCAGCATTGGGACGTTAATAAGCTGTTACTTTATTTTACTTTACTTTAATATCGTACCGTGGGTGTCCTAACACCCGACTGAAGAATTCATACAGCCTGCCAAGCGTGACAACTGTGGCAAATGGGGGGCAGCTAAACATAAGTCCTTCCTTACTTCTAAGTTGTAATAAATGAATGATGAATGATGATCTGTATCAAATTGTCCCGAAAATAAATAATAAGCTATAGTTACCCTATTTCTACGTAAGTGTTTAGTATGGTTATACCGCTAGCATCCCGCATAGCACTACAGCTACAGCTACACTAGGCTAGGCACTAGGCGAGCAATGCGTACGGTTACCGCACCAGGGGCTCTATCTCAATTATCTAGGTACTTTTCTTTTCTTTATTTCTTAGTGAAAGGTGAGCATATACGTGGTAGAGCCACGCCGCAACAGTATTATGGTCTTAGCATCGGCTCGACCGGGGAAGAACCACGCTCTCACAGAATACCAGCGTAAAATAGCAGCACAACGCTGCTGTGTTTCGTATGGTGAGTGTTGAGAACCGGAGACCCCTTCACTGGAAACTGCATTCCATATTAGTTCTCAGGTGTGACAACGCATCAGCGTTTTGATTCTTAATCGAGGATAAATGTAGATGTCTATGGGCCACAGAATCTACTTACCATCAGGTGGACTGTGTGCTCGTTTGTCACCCTTATTCTATAAAAAAGGAGAAGTACGAGGGTGGCACTGAAAATTTCGGGAATCAAGGAAGTGACACAACATTACTATTTAAAAATGTATTTATTGCTTTTCGAAGTATTCTCCTAACCAAAAGCAACCACGTGGGCCACCATTATTTTTGCAACACTCCGTGAAAACGAACAATACAAATTTTGTTGGCTTTAACTCATTTTCGAACAACCAAACTCGTGACTGCTTTTTTGTTTCGGGTTCGTACGCATATATCCAGGATTCGTCACTTGATACGATGTTGTATACAGCATTTGAGGATCCTGCGTGGAATCTTTCGAGAGTTCTGACGCACCAAGTAACGCGAGCCGCTTTTTGCTCTTTACAGAGCGAATGCGGTATTCATCGGGAAAACAATTTTTTTACACCTAATTGTTCATGCAAGATTATTTGTATTTGACTCATGCCAATGTCAAGTTGCCTGAATTTCGCGGTATGTCACATGTCGATCTTCCTCAATCAACTTACGCACAGCATCAACGTTTTCTTGGGTGACTGCAGTTTTTGGACGACCTTGACGGGGATCATCACTGAGCTTGATACGTTCACGTTGAAATTCAGCAAACCAGCGACAAATTGTGGTTTTGGATGGGGCTTCTTCACCAAATGCAGAAATCATCCGGTCAACACTGTTTTTGTGTTAAACCACTTCGAAAGTCATAATAAATCATCGCTCTTGAATTTTCTCGAGTCAATTCCAGTTTCTCAACGACTAACTAAACAAGTTTGACAAAACCTTGTGACAAGACCGAGAATCTTTTTTTAAATAATTAAATGGTATTTGATTTTTAAAACCAAGGAGTTTTCAATTAAAAAGATTTTAATATGACAGGAACAGTGGAAATATTCCATTCCCGATACTTTTAGTGCAGCCTAGGTATCATAATAACAGCAATGCAATGCTGTGAATCAAGCGTCATTATAATCACTATATTCTTACTATTGCGGCCCGACTGCGCCTAGATATTAATTTGTCTGGATATTATTTAGATTTAAGATAATCAATGACCAATCATTTTATCAATTTTACGTTTTGTATCATATACAATACGTTGTAACGTATACAAAACTCTCCATACAAACATACGTACATACCTAAGTAAAAATATTGTTACAGAAACTGTCAGTAATCATTAGTCTCTTATTAAGTAGAGCCATTTTCAAGAAAGAAGTCTAAAATGTAAAGTATAGAATTTGACAACAAAAATGTCAAATTTCACGAGGCCTGTATTATTATTCTGTGACTTAGTGGAAAAAACTTACATGTATAAAAACTTACACGTATAAAAACTTACACGTATAAAAACTTACACGTATAAAAACATCTAACAGCCCGAGATAATTAATTAACCACATTTTGCAATAAAACAGATATAGAACAATGTCAATGTGAATGCCGTGCCGTGGTAGCTCAGATGGTTAACGCTCGCTGTAAATATAACAGAACGCGAGTAACCTGGGTTCGATCCCTGCCTGCACCAATGAAATTGTTAATTACAATTTTAAATGCTGATTTACCACGTACTCGGCGGTAAAGGAAAATATCGTGAGGAAACCTGCATGTCTAAGGAATAAGAAAAAAAAATTATTTCCAGGACATGTAAAGTCCGCGGCGGACACTACCTTGCCCTAAACCTTTGTTTATATACAATATAATCGGAGCCCTAAACCCTCTCAGAAATGAGGGGAGGCTTGTGCTCAGCAGTGGGACCTATATAGGCTGTAACTTTACTTTACTTTACTTTACTAAATGTGAATGAATTGTTTTATTACGATAATTTAATTTTGACATTAAATACTTATCGAAGTTAATTTACCACGAGAAGATTCGTTGCTTATTTATTTTATAAGAATTATTATATTATGGTGGCGAAGCTATTTGGCAAACAAATAACGCAAGCTTGCATCATTAAAGTTGTGCACGTACTTGGTTTATTTGCGTTGGGGCACATCGAGAAGACTTAACCAAGACTAAGTTATTACCAGCACAGCAGCAATTTATTTATATCGCAATAGTAAAAGATGATGATGGTGTGCAATAAATAGTGAAGTAGTCAAGGACATATAATT